CAACTAACCTCGACACTGATAAAAATTTTTAAAAAACAAATATAAATTAGTAAAAACCAACCAACCCCACCAAATAGCCAACTAACCAATGAATTAACACCCTCCAAATAACCACGCTAACCGACCCGTCAAATAACTAAACCAATCCAACCAAAAAGAGTGAAACCAATACAATAAGAATACGCTATAAGCAAAAAAAAATATAAAAAAGTGTTGGTCAGCGTGAGATTTGAACCCCGGACCATTCGCTCACGAACCTATAGCCTCAGCCACGGAGCCACAGGTGCTCTTGCAAAATGCTTATGGCTAGGCATTACTTTCCGCCGACATGAACGACGTCACAATATCTATTAATGGCATTTTAGTAGGCTACCGTTTAACGGCTGTTTAAGTACATCCTTAAATTAACGTATCCTTTACGGCTGCTAAGGCTAATCTGGACGAAGCCTACTTTATTTACGAGGAATCCGAACCGCGGTCTTCAGCCATATCATTTTCAATGGCCTACCAACTTGGCGAGTGTCTAAATCGGCTCTTACTCACGAGATATTCGACCTCGAACCGGTGGGCGTGAATCAGACCGACAGCACGATAAAATTTCCAGACGTTCACCCATCCATCCACTCGCATCGTCTAACGTCGCTTAACATCTGAGCTGGGTCCTTGTTCTGGATCAAAAGAGCCTAATATACAGTAGTATACGGTTAGTCCACCTTTCCTTGAATGTCTATTGTTCATACCGTTGTCAAGCGTCGACAATCTTGGCTTTCTTTTAATTTTCCTTCTTATTGATCAACTTACACACTCGCGTCACTGAGATCAACGCCCATCAATGTTCTTGTCTTCGCGCATTCCTCGCGGTGTCACAGATGACGTCAAAGATGACGCGACAAGGTCACCGAACAATCGAACACAGATCGACGGCAGAGACAAAAGAACGTCGAACGTCGCGTGTCTTCTGTCACACTTCTTCGCGTTCGTTCATCGAGTGGGCGACGCGATTTCGATTTCGAAATTGGACCCGGCCTACTGCGATAAAACCATTAAAGTTATAGACGTTCAAAGAAATAGACTTCTCGATTGCAGGATTCTGTGCAATCTGAAAGTCCTGATTTCCGTAGAATCCTACAATTTTCTGTCTCACAATGTATCGTATATGTCGGGGAAGGGATCATAGTTTCATAGTTGTCGATTTTCGAAAGAAATCAGTACATGTATATTATTTCGTATATTTTTCATTTTATTGATTTTATGGAAAGCACTGTTCATTAAAATGTTGTATCCAATGTTATAGGGCTTGTTTCTCTCTACAATTTTCTATCTCACAATGTATCGTATATGTCGGGGAAGGGATCATAGTTTCATAGTTGTCGATTTTCGAAAGAAATCAGTATATGTATATTATTTCGTATATTTTTCATTTTATTGATTTTATGGAAAGCACTGTTCATTAAAATGTTGTATCCAATGTTATAGGGCTTGTTTCTCTCTACAATTTTCTATCTCACAATGTATCGTATATGTCGGGGAAGGGATCATAGTTTCATAGTTGTCGATTTTCGAAAGAAATCAGTACATGTATATTATTTCGTATATTTTTCATTTTATGAAAGAGATAAAATGGAAATAAAAAGATTTTCAGAGATAAAATGGTTCAAGTCCAAAAAAGTATAAATAAACATTCTTAAAAAAAGCCACAGTTGTATTTTGTGTTACTTTAGCTTGAAATTATACAATTTAAACTATAATAAAGCATTTTGTCAAGTTTTCTTTTCCAGCTTGTTTTATTATAATTAAGTAGCATTAAAAAACTTTAACGCTCATTTTCTCCATAATTATCTTCTAGGACTTGATCCAGTTCACTTCTGAACTCCTCATATGTCAAAAAAAGTCTTGAAACTTGGTCAGAAAATTTTTTTGCAGCAAATGCAGATTCTGTAGGGAAAATGAGGAAACAGCAGAAAAAAACTCCTTAATTTTCTAATGTGACGTTATGGATTCGAGGGACACCATCATCAACTTTGCTTACACAGAAGCAATTGGAAATCTAAATATTTTAAAGTCTCTGGGATTAAACATTAGTACCTGGTGGCATGCAGGTGAAAATGTGTCTCTCGCAGTGTACTGCGGTCAGAGAAAGTGATTCTCCATCGTCAAAACTGTCGTTTTTAGGGATGTCTACCTGAAGAAATAATATCGATATAAGATATTATTTTGATTTCTTATTTAATTTAAAAATATTTTTTTTCTGTGAAAAAGAGCAATTATTGCAACAAGACGTCATACTAGTCAAATTTTTCGTGTGTCGATTTTTAAGCTAATGAAAATATTATAGTATGTAGTTTGCGAACGTAAAGTAACAAATTGGCATGCAAGAAAATTAATATCTTGCATTTAAAACTGTTTCAGAACCAGTATAGCCGGTTAATTGGCGTTAAACGAATTTATAAGTATCTTAATTTGTTAACTTTAATTATTATTAATGTGTTTCTTATTCACTGGCAGCAACTTTGGTTAAAAAATTATTCCTTATAAATTTAACTGATTTTTTGATAAAATTTCATCAAAAATTAATTTTTTGTTGTTTTCTTTTCACAGTTTATTTTACAAAATCTTTATGTACAGGGTGGGTCAAATTCGACGCTTTTAAATGAAAACGCCCTTTTCTATAGGAAATAGAAATAACCTAATAAAATAGAGAAAAACTAATATCGGTGTCTGGAGCTCAATTTTTGTCAAAAACATGATGGAGAAAACGGAATATCAATATCTGTTACCGTTTCGGAGTTACGGGGTGTTTTTCAAAAATATGCATTTTTAACAAATCGCTGTAACTTTTTTGCTATGGAAAATTTTGTATTTTTATGAAAACATTTCTAAAGCATCTTTTTACGTAGAATTTAATGGTTTAAGTATATTTTTTTAAAAATTAATAATTTAAGAATTATCAACAGAAAATTTTATTTTTTATATGAGACACCCTGTATATTTTAAATTTATTGAAAAAAATTTAAAATTACCTTACCAAAAATATAACACACTTAATATTTTGCTCGATTCCTCTTCGAGATATAGAGTATATAAAAATTCGCCCGCTTTAAATAAGTAGGCTTTGAACGGCACCGGCTGTAATGCAAAAAAATTCTAGCTGTGAGCATCAATTAAAACGAAAATAATATTTGCTATGAGAGATGCAAGATTTTATAAAAATTTAAAATATATTTATTCAACATCAACACATTTAAACTATATCTAATAACAATAACAATAAATAGCAAACCAAGACATGAGATTTTGCTACAGGTGTTCGACATATTAACTGTATTCTGTTATGGAGAGACGGGGCCGTTTTTGAACATTTCTCGCGGAATTCATTAACTCAGTGGGGGTCAAAGATACCCTCTAATAACTGCTAAGTATTTTTAATTCTTGTCTATATTATACGGAAGAATAAGAAACTTTTATTCTTCCGCAAATATATCCATAGGATTAGATCCATGGGCACTAAGTCAGGCGGTCTCGACGGCCAACGGCTGGGATATTGGTTAGGTATTCAATTATTTTTGAAATTGGCTACAAAAATTTGCTGATAACTTCAGCGTTCTGAGGCGTCTTGCTGGAAATATATATTTTCGAGTTCCATTAAGGGCATGTCATCAATAAGGGGTCCAAAGCCTACTAGTTAAAAGTGGCGAACTTTTAAATATTCTGTATTTCGAAGGGGATTATAACATAATATCAAGTGTGCTATATTTTTGGAAAGGTAATTTTAAATTGTTTTCAGTTAATTAAAAATATAGAGGGTGTCTCAAATAAAAAATCAATTTTTCTATTGATAACTCTTAAAATAAGAAAAACTTTAATTTTTTAATTAAAGAATTAATAATTCTAAAAAAATTAAAAATGCACATTTTTGAAAAACACTCCGAAACGGTAACAGATATTGATATGCAGTTTTTACCATCATGTTTTTGATAAAAATTGAGCTCCAGACACCGATATTAGTTTTTGTCTATCTATCTCCTATAGAAAAGGGTGTTTCCATTTAAAAGCGTCGAATTTGACCCATCCTGTACATTTTGCAAATCCATAAATATTTTCATAATTAAATCAAAATTTAGCTATTGCAAATAGTACCATTGATCAAAAAAATAGGGTTGGCTTATTTCCTCAATCAAGGATAATACTATTCGATCGAAAAAAACGGCGTCAAAGAGGGCTGGGGAATGACAATTGATGATAATTTTAGCTGGCGAGGTCAAGCTCTATTTTCGAGGTCTCGTCTTTGAGGCCGTTTTTTTCTGATCATACGAAATTTATTTTCTGCAATTTGGGAATATTTGGAAGAAATAAAACAACGCTATAAAAATAAAGCCATTATATTTTTTAAAATCTATTCAGAAGATATCAACAGGATACATAAATCATTATCTTAAACTCCGAGAAACATTAAAAGTTTTTACAGACTATTAAACATTTGAGTTTGCAACACTATTACAAGAAGATTTTTCACCCAAAAATATTACTTTTCTGTTTTCTTTGTATTATTTTGAACAATGATCACAATTTTTCTGTAAAATATATCCTTGTAATCACAGGAAGAAACCATAATAGTTCCATATAGCGTCTGAATTTTATATTGCTGCCAAAACTTCTTTTATAATGTACAGAGTGTTTGTACTAAACCCACTTATAAACTTTTTTATGAAAAAAGTGCTATAGTTGTGTTAAAATTAAAATTAAAGAATTGAAAGTGACTATATACAAAAACATCTCTTGACTAGTCCTTTTTGGACTGCCTCTGTCAATTTTTCAGTTTTATTTACCATTTTTCACCCTGTAAACACTGATTTGTTAAAATTTTGATTAGTACTGAGTGATTACTAGTTGAAACAATAAAAATAAATAATACGAAAAAAAATAAAATTTTCTATATCTTATTTCAATATTATTTTGGAGGGTTTCGATTTCATTGTCAGTTTTCTTCGTCAGATTCTGTCAGTAGATTTTCGTCATCCAGGAAATCCTGATGTCATCTGGCCAAAATTATGTTTTCTGGCATGGTCTCTTTGTATTCGTAGAAGACTGCCTGGGGTTCGATTTTGGCTGTGGTTCTGGCAACCAGAGGTTCCAGAATTTCGCACTGGCAGCACTCGCAACGCCAGTACAACAGTAAACCTGAAAAGGGGAAAATGTACAGGGTGTCCCATTTTCGTGAGTTTTAGAGTTATATATTATATATAAATTATTTATATACAGGGTGGTCCGAACTGTATTCCGAAAAAAAATAAGTAAAAAAGTTTGTATAAATGTATGTCCTAAAAAGCTTAGTTTCGGAGATACAGGGTGTAGAAGTTTCATTTTTATTTCGAGATTTTTTCCAAATAATTTCTGAAGTAACGTCATTATTTGGATGAAAATTGGTGTCTGGAAGTTTTAAAATCGTATAATTTAAAAATAAAATTCTTTTTTATGGTCGAACATATTCTTGACATTTTGATGAATGTATTTTATTTTCATGAATCGTAATACAAACTATATAAAAACTAAATAATTTCTATTACTCAGTTATTGTTTATTGAAGCTTTTTTCTCAAAAGTAAATGAAAAATGATGGTTCTTTCTATTTCTCTTCATTGCATTACGTAACTTTGTCGCTTTTCTTAACATTAGAGAGAAAATAAAGGTGCACCGTAGCGAACTCTTTGCTCAAACTTTGATTGGAGTTTATGTTGTACTTTTTTTGCTTTCTTCCGACTGTAATTTGAAGGAAGAGTCTGCGGTCGTATAAGACACGTTATGAGAATGTGTGTTTGTTGTTGGAAAAGCGGTTTTTCTTTTTCGTTTTAAATTGCTCCTGAAAGTTTCAGCGATATTTTCACATCAGGGCGTTGACTTTATAGTGTGATATATATTCAGTTAGAAGTTTTATTTATTTATGTTTTATTGAATCAGTTGATTTATGACACAGGGTGTACGTTAAAAAGTTAAAACAATTTTTACAAATTTTAATAAGTTTTGGGTTCGTTGAAGGACTATTAGAGGTACAATTTACAAATATCTTTACAAGAGGTAGAGCGTCAGTATAAAAAATATCAAAGTTGTAGTTTTTTAAATGGAACGCCCTGTTATACACACAAATTGTTACATTTTTAGTTTGTTCGATTAAAATAATCGTAAAAATTTGATTAAGTTTTATCACACTTAAACCTTACCGTTTTTGAAATATTTTCAATTTTGTGAAATTGCAATAAAAATTTTAAGGCTTCATTTCTCCGAGGATATCAAAGTTTTTAATACTAAATATTTACTGAAGTTTATTTATTGATCAGTTATTGTGTTGCAATAATAAAAACTATACTATCTTATACAGAGTGTCTAAAAATTATTTTAAATAATTACTAGCTTTAAAAATGGCATAATACAATTTGAAAGACAATTAAATTGTGCATCTGATTCACGTAAAATATACAGGGTGTTCCGTTTAAATTAGAGAAGTTACTGCCGTTTACACATAGTAATTATTCAAAATAAATTTTTTGACACTCTGTATGAGATAGTATAGTTTTCATTATTGCAACACAAAATTTAGTAAATAGAAATACTTCATTACAATATTTGGTTTTAAAAACATAAATATACCTAGAGAAATAAAGCATTAAAATTTATTACTGTATTTTGACAAGAACCTAAATATTTCAAAAACGGTAAGATTAAAATGGGGTAAACCTTAATCAAATTTACCTTTATGTTAATCGTAAAAACTAAAAATGTAATAATATACACGGTGTTCCATTTAAAAAATACAACTTTGATATTTTTTATTTATTTGGGACACTCTGTATCTCGTAAAAAAATTAAATTGTAGCTCTAATAGTCCTTCAACGAACCCAAAACTTATATAATATATAACCATTATTTCAAAGAACTATATAAAAAATATAAAAAACAATATGACATATTATTAAAGCAATGTAGAGCTATGTCATATCAGGGCAGAGTTGAAAAATCAGATAATAAAGTGAAGTGTATGTGGAGCATACGTAAGGAAATAATCGGTAATAATAAAGATGCATCTCCAAATAATCTTAATCAAAATGGACAACAAATGGTTGAAACATTTAATGAGCATTTATTATCAATTGTTCCCAATCTACTACAAAATTTACCAAGCGGCTATAGCATTAACACTGAAATTAATAATAAATCAATGTTTTTAAGACCAATAACGCCTCAAGAATTAATTGATATAAATGCAAAAATAAAAAATAAACATAGTAGTGGTAATGATGAAATTCCTACAAGCTTGATCAAATTGTCAACTGGTGCTTGTCAAGATGTATTGTGTTATTTAATAAACAGCTCCTTTAAGTCAGGCATATTTCCACAAGAGCTAAAAACCGCACTAATAAAACCTATACATAAAAAAGGCGATCCCAAGTTAATAGATAATTACAGGCCAATTAGTCTTCTTCCGGGTTTTTCAAAGCTCTTTGAGTTAGCAATGTTAAGTAGAATGATGTTTTTTATTAAAGAATGTAACTTGATACGCCAAAACCAACACGGGTATTTAAAAGGGAAATCTACTCAAACAGCAATTTTTGAATTTGTTCGGAGAGTTTTGGAACACATGGAGGTGGGGGAATTGGCACTAGGGATGTTTTTGGATCTCTCTAAAGCCTACGACTGTCTTGACCGAGAATTGCTCTTAAGAAAATTGGAACGATACGGATTTAGAGGGAAGTCTCTCGAGTGGCTACAGTCATATCTTAATAACAGAAAACAACAAGTTTCTATTACCAATGAAGGTAAAATATATAAATCCCAGATACGCACAAATAACATCGGTATAGCTCAGGGTAGTATATTGGGTCCAGTTTTGTTTTTATTATTCCTAAATGACTTAAATCTGGCAGTAAATGGACAAAACCAAAACATAATTAATTATGCTGATGATACCAATCTGTTAATTGGAAAAAAACACCTACCCGAATTAATTGACGAGAGCAAAATTTTATTAGATAATGTATCTAGATGGTTCAATGAAAATAATTTAATTCTGAATTCCGATAAAACAAATGTCATCATTTTTCGAACAAAATTGTCACGAACAAATAGACCACTTATATATGATTCGACTAAAAATATATTAATATCTGACCACACGAAATTTTTAGGAATAATAATTGATGAGCATTTAGATTGGAGTAATCATATAGAATATCTTTTGAAAAAGCTGGGTTCAGTGTGCTATGCAATTAGGGTAATAAGCAAATATATGGATGAGAGAACACTAAAAACACTGTATTATTCCAATTTTCAGTCCGTCATGAGCTATGGGATAATATTTTGGGGCAGCAACAGCAAAATACAACGACTGTTTGTAACACAAAAAAGGGTAATACGCACTGTAAGAAAAATGAATTTCAACGAATCGTGTAGAGGGATCTTTAAGAGTGAAAAAATTATGACAGTATATGCATTATATATTTATGAATGTTTAGTATATTTTTACATGAATAGAGAATGTTTTGAGAGTAACATAATACATCAGTACAATACTAGAAAGAATTTACTAAACTATCCCGCTCATAAACTTGCGATTACGGAAAAAAAGCCCTTTGTATATGTGTTTAAAGTTTTATAATGAACTGCCCTTAACACTTAGACTCTGTGGAAAGTTAAGCGAATTTAAATTTAAGTTAAAAATTATTTATTAAATATAGAGCCTTATAGCTTGCCAGAATTTTTAACTTCAATGGTTAATTAGGATTAAGGAAATATTATTGTGTGAATTATATCCAATATTGTAAATTTTAGGTTTATTTTTTTTTCTATATATTTTCCCGTTTATGTAAGTAGACTTATCTAATTTTTGTAAAATATGTGTAATATGCTTTGGAATATTTATTTTGATGTTTGACGATATTTCTCTTTATGTTTTTTTTGTAACATAATTTGGAAATAAATAAATATTATTATTATTATTATTATTATTATTATAATTTGCAAAAATCTAATCGTTTAACTACAATATTCCGTATGGTATGTGGTGAACAACCCTGTATACTTTGGTACGACTGATAACGGAGATGGAGTTCTACCTTCTGTAAAACCGCCTCAAATACTGGCATTTCTCAAACGTCCTGTATGTTGTATGATTTTTTTACCTGATAGTGTCCAAAAGACTACCCCTTGCCACACGTTCCCAACAATCATGGCTGACAAAATCGTATTTACAGCTATCGATGTTGAATGGGAAAGTGCAAATATCCACGATGGTAGCAAGCAAGGTTTTGATTTTTCTGCTGTGTTTTCAGGCAAGCCCATTATAACTAAAGCGCTACCTACAATTGCTGAAATAGACAATAAAAATAATAAAAATAAATGTTTTTTTAACAGATTTTGTGGTTGAAATACCTAAAATATCCGGCCAGTAAAAACGAATGATATGAAAAATATACAGGGCTATACTTATCGATGCCAGTATGATTAAAACTATGCACATTATCACTACGATGGACGTTGTTTTTGTTGAAGGCCTCCTTTCGTTGAATTTTCCTACGGCTGCTACCTAAAAGATGATCATAATGATAAACCATTTATTTAACCTTATACAGGGTGTTTCAAAACAAATGCGAAAAACTTCAGGGGGTGATTCCTTGTTCAAAATAAAGGGTAGTTTGCTTCATAAACATTGGGTCAAAAGTCTACCATTAGGGAGATATTGCGGTACAAAGATGGCGGAAAAATAATGTTTTTTTATTTTTTATCTTGAAAACGAAAAGAGATAGACTAATAAAATTTTATGGAAGCATTACTGTTATGAAAACACACTTTCTGGTAATTTTTTCACTTTTTTAAAATGAGTGGAAGGGATTGAAATAAACTACCCCTATCATTCTTGTTAACGAAATTTAAAGAAACATTATCAAACACATGCAAAAAAATTAATTTGGATAGTTTAGTTTGTTTAGAAATTTTTTTATCTCTTGTATTTTTTTGATAAAACTCGCCGATTTGAAATTAAAAAATAAAATGTAAAGCATTACATGTCAGGACAAAAAACATTTTCTGATAAAGAATCTAGTGAGCTGCTGTAATTTTTTAGGAAAATCTAGTCGGCCGCTGTTACTTTTTAGGATGTTCCTAATATTTTTTCATTCGACATTACTCTACTGCAATACGTTATTATCTAGATGATTATTATTATCGTTATTATCACTAGATTCTTAATCTAAAAATGTTTTTTGTCCTGACATGTAATGCTTTACATTTTATTTTTTAATTTCCAATCGGTGAGTTTTATCAAAAAAACAAAAGAGGTAAAAAAGTTTCTAAACAAACTAAACTACCCAAATTAAAGCATTTGCATGTGTTTGATAAGATTTTTCTTTAAATTTCGTTAACAAGAATGATAGGGGTAGTTTATTTCAACCCCTTCCACTCATTTTAAAAAAGTAAAAAAATTACCTGAAAGTGTGTTTTCATAACAGTAATGCTTCCATAAAATTTCATTAGTCTATCTCTATTCGTTTTCAAGATAAAAAATAAAAACATTATTTTTCCGCCATCTTTGTACCGCGATATCTCCCTAATGGTTGACTTTTGACCCAACGTTTATAAAGCAAACTACCCTTTATTTTGAACAAGGAATCACCCCCTAAAGTTTTTCGCATTTGTTTTGAAACACCCTGTATAAACCATTTATAATTAGTTAACTAAATATGTTTAGAGAGAGACAAGTTTTTAGTATTTTTTTCTATATGATACTTTAACAGCGAGGATAGGTTAAAAACTTTATTTCTTCTCGCACGTTTTTTAATTGCTTCCATTTTTGAAAATGTCTGTATTCATTAGTTATTCGGGATTTCAAACGAAGTAGTTTGGATATGGCGTTTGTCGCCTCAGCCTGAATATCTGTTGGTAATTTACTTATTTCGTTTTGAGCCATTTCTGGCTCCATTTCAATCAGCAATTGACACGAAAGAGAATTAAAAAATATTGACTCAAAACTGACAACTAAAGAGACAGCTTTATTTATTTGTCAAATTACATAGAAACCAACGCCAACCCAGCACAATATTTTTTCTATTAGTAATAAATTCCTTGAAATAATAATTTCTGAATATTTTTTAACGTAACTCGCTATGGAAAAAAAAATATTGTTTTATACACGACGATAAAATCGCATTATCGTCTCCCGAAATTAATTCACTCGCGATTTGATCGCTCGTGAATTAATCTTTTCGGTCAACTATAAAATACCATTTTATCGTCTTGTATAAAAAATAACTATTTTTTCCTTTTTGTACCTACATGTGTATACGTAAAGTATCACAACAATGTCAATGGCTCAACGAGGCATGGTGGAGTAATTTTGAAGAACAGTTGCCTTAAAAGTGGGGGTAAGTTCAGAGTAAAAATGTTGAACATAGATAATGAGACAAGTTTAGATTGGAAAGTGCCCATCTAAATTTATTTCTTTTATCTATGATGTTGCTGAGAGATGGTGCAGGACTGTCGGGCTGAGTATTAACTCAGATAAAACCGCAGTAGTGCCATTCACCAGAAAGCGAAGTTTGAAAAACTTGAAAAGAATCCATCTAGATGGAAAGGAAATACTGCCATCACAGGAAGTGAAATATCTGGGAATAACCCTGGATAGTAAACTTCTCTGGAACAGGCATATTAAGAACATTACCAGCAAAGCCACAAAGGCTCTCATGATATGCAGAAGACTGGCGGGAAATAGGTGGGGCTGCGCCCCTAACATTTTGCGCTGGATGTATACCATGATAGTAAGACCCATGATTACTTATGGAGCAGTTGCTTGGTATACAAAACTAGAGCAACGTACAGCAAGGCAAACCCTGTGCAAAGTACAGAGACTGGCATGTATCTGCATCACAGGTGCCATGAGAACATGTCCAACAGCAGCAATGGAGGTCATTCTAGACCTAACACCACTGCATATTGTCGTCGGTAGTTATGCCAATGCGACAATGATTAGAATGGTCATTGACGGAAACAGTACTGGGAGAATTTTCAGGTCAGGGGCTTGGAACACCCTCAAAAAGAAAATTCCACTTCTCCAACTCCCAGTGGATGACATACCAAGAATTTACAACTTTGAGAAACACCTCACTGTAGTATTGAGTAATAAAAAGGATTGGAAGAAAGAAACGCTTACTCAGCATATAAAAGACCATACCATCACGTGGTATACTGATGCTTCCAAAACCAAAGCAGGGACAGGGATAGGAGTATTTGGGCCGAAAACTGAATACTCCGAACCAATGGGCACCTACCCCAGTATCCTTCAGGCAGAAATTTGCGCTATCGAAAGATGCGTACAATTTATCTTGGATAGGAACTATCGAAAACAGGAAATTGCCATCCTATCCGATAGTCAAGCAGCACTTAACGCGATCAACTCAGTAACCATCAATTCGAAGTTGGTCAAAGAATGCCTAGAGAAGCTCAACAAATTAGGCAAAGAAAATAAAGTCCTCCTACTCTGGGTGCCTGCTCACCAAGGGATAGAAGGCAATGAAAAAGCAAATGATCTAGCTAGAAAAGGAGCGAACACTCCACTAACTGGACCAGAACCGTTCTGTTTTCCAAACGGGAACCAACTGAAAGCGGAACTGAAGAATCTAGAAGACTCCATCCGTAACTTGGAATGGGTGTCCTCCAACGGTCTAAGACACTCGAAAATGTTCCTTAGAACTTATGACCGAGAAAAATCAAAGGTTTTCCTTGATTTAAGTAAAAACAATCTTCGGATTGTCACGGGGTTTCTAACAGGACACTGTCTCCTCAACGAACACCTCAGTAGGCTGAAACTAAGAAACAACGGCGAATGCAGATTTTGTGGTGAAAATGAGGAAACACGAGAACACCTTATCACTGAGTGCGCCGAGACGACGACCATTCGTGCCATGAACCTCGGTACGTCTGATGTCGATGATGGAGAGCTGGCCTCTGTGGAGCCGCCTCAGATACTGGCTTTTCTTAAAGCCCTGAGACTGTATGATGAGTTATAACTCGTTATAACTCAAGAAAGGGGAACACACAATAGATCTATGAGGTCGCGGTGATTAACTCCCCTCCTAAACATTCTACATCTATGATGTTGAAATGCCATTGTTTGGCAGCCTTCTTTGACGGGTTACAATATACATTGGAATTTTATTTGCTTTTTTGCCGATTTGTTGATCCTTTCTGAGTTTATTTTATATTTTATACTGTTCATTTTATTTATTACTGGTTCTATGTAATTTACAAATTTGGAAATAAGTCTTTTAGAATGACTTTAAAAGACTTATGTTTAAACTACGAACAAGAACGGTAAGTAATATATTAAAGCTTACTCTTAGACCTTCTTTATATTCCTCGACTATAACGTCGATGTCAGTGGAACTATCAGAATTTTCTCCATCACTACAAGAAAGAATTTCCATCTCGTTCTCCTCATTTTCTGAATTACTGTCATCAGCAGCCATATCTAAATTTGCTGTATCATCAAACAACAAAAATTCTCTTTCTTCTCCTAAAATAATATTTTTTACTGATAAATCCAACTAATTTTTTGTTTATATTTAACCATGTTCCTTTGTGTTTTGGCGTAATTTTCTTGCATTACACATTGCAGTTTTTGGAGAACTTAATTTATGAATATACTGGGGTTTCTTTGTAAAAATATTCTTTAGGCGTTCTTTCAGAGAATGGTTGTGATTTTTTGAAGATGTTCTGTTTGTACCCTGGGCTAGTTTGCTGTACTGTATGTTCGAACTACAGCCTGAAATTGACAATATTTTTTTTTGGAAAATAAAAAAAATAGAACTGACTGGTTAATTTTATATTAGTTCTTTAATTTTTTTTGAGATTTATTTCATAAAGAATTCCAATCTTACCTTGTAAGTCGTTGTACATATTTTCAGGTTTGTACCTGTTGTAGAGTATTTGACAAGAGTTTAGTACACATTTGATTAAACATGCAGCGTTTAGAAGTTTAATCAGATGACTTAAGGGACATGCAAATGCCAAAATGGCGGCCAAACTACCTAAAATAAATAGTGTATATTTATTATTCTTTAGAAATATCAAGTTACTGGAAATTAGTGATATTGCAGTACTAAATTTTTTAAAAAGTTTTGATGTTGATATGTTTAAATTATAGATAATAATAGTAAAAATAAAAGCATATGCAGACAACCACCGATGAACATAAAGAAGAAATAAAAGTAAATAAAGAAGAGAAGAAAAAAATTAAATCAATAAAAAAAATATGAAAAAAAAAGGAAACATTTCCGGGAAGCCTCATAGTTTTTATTTTTTTCTTTACGTTTCAATCTTTTTCTTCATCTATTTTATTTTTTTGTTGCTTTCATATATTTTTTCTGTATTCTTAGTATCATTTCATGTATTAAATGGTTTAATAAAAAGTATATACCTGCTGCAAATATTGCTAATACAGGAGCTCCAGTTACTGGACTTTGATACTGGATAGAACTGACAAATACCCTCCATTCTCTGCTTGCCAACCGTACAAAGGAGTTAAAAACACTTGGCAATACTTCGGGCAACAGTAAACATACTACACAAATTGTAAAAACAGCTATTACAGGCCTGGCCCAATCAACATCTCGGTTTTCGAAAACTTGTATCAGAGGAATAGCAGTACCTATAAGTTCCCTAAAAATATAAATTACGTATACAGAGTGTTTCAAAACAAAGGCGAAAAACTTCAGGGGGTGATTCCTTGTTCAAAATAAAGGGTAGTTTGCTACATAAACGTCGGGTCAAAAGTCAACCATTAGGGAGATATTGCGGTACAAAGATGGCGGAAAAATAATGTTTTTATTTTTTATCTTGAAAACGAAAAGAGATAGACTAATAAAATTTTATGGAAGCATTACTGTTATGAAAACACACTTTCTGGTAATTTTTTCACTTTTTTAAAACGAGTGGAAGGGGTCGAAATAAACTACCCCTATCATTCTTGTTAACGACATTTAAAGAAAAATCTTATCAAACACATGCAAAAAAATTAATTTGGATAGTTTAGTTTGTTTAGAAACTTTTTATCTCTTGTATTTTTTGATAAAACTCACCGATTTGAAATTAAAAAATAAAATGTAAAGCATTACATGTCAGGACAAAAAACATTTTCTGATAAAGAATCTAGTGGGCTGCTGTAATTTTTTAGGAAAAAATCTAGTCGGCCGCTGTTACTTTTAGGATGTTCCTAATATTATTTTATTTGACATTACTCTACTGCAATACGTTATTATCTAGATGATTATTATTATCGTTATTATCACTAGATTCTTAATCTAAAAATGTTTTTTGTCCTGACATGTAATGCTTTACATTTTATTTTTTAATTTCCAATCGGTGAGTTTTATCAAAAAACACAAGGGGTAAAAAAGTTTCTAAACAAACTAAACTATCCAAATTAAAGCATTTGCATGTGTTTGATAAGATTTTTCTTTAAATTTCGTTAACAAGAATGATAGGGGTAGTTTATTTCAACTCCTTCCACTCATTTTAAAAAAGTAAAAAAATTACCTGAAAGTGTGTTTTCATAACAGTAATGCTTCCATAAAATTTCATTAGACTATCTCTTTTCGTTTTCAAGATAAAAAATAAAAACATTATTTTTCCGTCATCTTTGTACCGCGATATCTCCCTAATGGTTGACTTTTGACCCAACGTTTATAAAGCAAACTACCCTTTATTTTGAACAAGAAATCACCCCCTAAAGTTTTTCGCATTTGTTTTGAAACACCCTGTATATAGGGTGACCAAACAAATATAAGTAAATATAAACTTGTTATAGTTTTGGTTATACAAACATATTTTTAATTATTTCATTGGTGGAAATATGTAAAACTTACCGGTAGTGCGTCATTAGAGAAAATATAATAGCAATCACAGAGTAGAACAGGACCGGATTGAAAAACAAAGTTAATATTTTTAAGCAGTTGTTTTTCGAGGTTAGAGGCAACTTGTGAACGAAAGCGTAGTAACATATTGCAGATGCTTTTAGTACCTAAAATAAATACAACAAAAAGCTAGTTAGGTGAAGTAGGTCTTTACTACATTAAGTTAGCTATACAAGAGGAAAATATTTAGGTATTTTGCCTATTGAAATATCGAAGAAAAAATATTAATATAAAAGAGTATTAAATTGAAAAATCTTTTAAAAATAATTTAAAAAGGAATTTTAGTTTTAATCCATTATTATTTTTAGAAAATGGAATTGAGATATTTCCAAACCTATTATTATGTGGAAAACTTTTCTGTAATCGATATTTCTGTAACAAGATCGCTTTTGTGTTTGAGCAAGTACTTACCGTTCTTGGAGAATGTATTTTGAAGGAATCGATCCACGTCTGAAATTTGTTGACTGTGTGGAAACTGCCAATCATCGTGAAAAAGCCGAAATTGCACAGTAGCACCACGAAAAGTAAAATTGAAATGGTTGACGATTTCTAAAATAACAGAATTTTTTTTTTACTTAATTATCAAGAAATATTTTTTTCTGGATAAATAAATTTTCTAAAAAGTTCTCAAATTTATCATTTCAATCAAATAACTATCTACTCAACATGTTTATTTTTGTCAATAATGACATGTATTGATTATTTTTATTCTAAATATCTTGAAAACGGTTGTTTGTAGCGATTTTTACAGAGTCCTTTTTTACGTAAAAAACGTCGTAAATGTATATTTTTTTACTCAGTAGTTTTATACAGGTATGGACAAAAAAGTTATTACTCTTCAAACGAGTTAAAAAATATGTAGGTGGCGCCATCTACAAGTAGGAGTCATACTGACATCAAAATCAAATTTTTCATGTAAAAAAACTCCCAAACCCCCATTTTCATCCAAATATTGACTTTAGTTCAGAAATTATTTGGAAAAAATCGAACAAAAATGAAATTTCAACACCCTGTATCTCCGAAACTAAGAATTTTAAGACATACATTTATTCGAACTTTTTTACTTATTTTTATCTGCTGAATTCGCTGCCGAAGTGACCGGAATACAATTCGGACCACCCTGTATACTACCCCTAAAAATATTTGCACTTATTTAAGACTCGCTTTGTATAAGGAAGTAATTTTTTTTGCATTATTGGGACTTTGGTATTGGGATTAAGTTTTACTTAATGGTATAATTTGAAATTAAACCAACAGTAAGTACCTACGACCAAAATCTCAATAATACAAAAAATATATTCATATTCAAAAGAAGGTTCAAGAAAATACACAAACATATACATATAAGGCAGCCAATACCATAATTGGAAATGGTTGAATAACCTAGAAAAGACGATGATGATGATAATACCTAAAAATAAAAAGTTTTGTAATATTCCAATTTATTTTAAAAAAATTGATCAGCTCATTTTTTTCAGACTTTGGGAAATAATAGATCCTTTTTTCATATTCCGGTGTGACAAAATTGCACACACACGTTTTACTGGCCAATAAAGTCGTTTTTATTGGCAATTTCCAAATTGAGAATCGGAAAAGAACGATGCTACTGAAATGCGAATCTAATATTTTATAGAATGCGGAATGTTCGTCGCTTAGCTGTCCCATTTGTCCGAATTACATTATTTCTATTTTATGTAAGTTATCATTTCATCCTTAATACATAATGCATGTGGTTCAGTTTTATTTCAGTTCGTGCAGAACACTTAAGCAAAACGTAATGTGGATATTTCAGTTTTATGCAATTAAAAGTTTTGGAGTGGTTTGTAGTAGTTGCCAAAGTGTTAGACTGTTGCTTTTTTACTTTTTCCTGTAGTTGGCGGATGGAGAATATGGAATCGACGGTACCGCGATTGGTGCGAAAACCCGTTTGCGATTCTGGGAGGATTTTTTCTATATGTGGGTGCAGGCGGTTTGACATAATTTTTGTAAGAATTTTTCCTCCGATGCAGTCTGATGCACTTCCTTTGTTCTTAAATATATTCACTATATTCGCGTTGCAAAAGTCCTGTGGTACCTCTCCGCTTTCTCAAATGGCATCGAAGAGAGCCTTAAGATGACCAATAAGTTCTTTATTTGCACACTTATAGATTTCCGCCGGAATCGCGTCACAGCCAGCTGATTTGTTGTTTTTAAGCTGTTTTGTGGAGTCCTTTATTTCCTGTTCTGTTATTGGAATGTCTAATACATCGAGGCTGTTATACTGAGGTATTATGTTCAATGCTTCCATATTGGGGTTGTTTTCTCGGTTAAGGATATGGCTGTAATGCTCTTTCAAGCGGTTTCTGATTTGCTCTTTCTTTTTAGAAGTTTACCATTTTGTGCCATGATTGGGCATCTTGCCTTCTTTGTTGGGCCGTATGCTTCTTTTACGGCCTCGAAGAATTTACGATAGTCGTGATGCGTGGCATACTCTTGAATCTGATTGAAAGATCTTTACACAGCAAACTGTGTTTGTGCTTCTTATAATCGAAAATGCATCATTTTGTGTAAAAAATGCAATCAAGCTTTTCTGTTGGAATAAAAAGAATTTCAGTGTTTATTATTATCTATTATTAAGAATAACAATTTTTTTATTTTCCCTTTTTTTTATTATTGACAGAAAAACAACCTGTCAAAATAGTTTTATATTTGTATTTCATTCTTTAGTCCAAAACAAAGGTAATGATTTTTACTTGACAAAAATCGGTTAATAAATAAGAAAGTTAGGATTTTTTTTATAGAATAGGATCAGACGCCATCTTTAATTCAACATGGCGGAGGAAGCGAGCGCTCTAGGAGATGTAACTTTTTTCTACAGAGTACTGTTAATGAGTACTATCATCTGTAAAGAAATCAGCTTGATTGCAAAAACTTCCCCTATTTTTGCTAACTGCCCTGACGTATTATTTTCTTAGCTTTAAATCAATGTTTTTTGGTGTTTGCGCGATCGTGCGATCCTTACCACTTTTCATCTCGCTAGCTCGTGTATCACAACCTTTAATTTCTACTCCGATCATTCGTAAAGAAGTTTCACTTCAAAAAATTGAGTATTTCATCTGCATTTATGCATTCTACAACATTTTTTTTTGAAATTATACAGGGTTGTTCACCACATACGACACGGAGTATTATAGCTAAACGAAGAGATTTTTACAAATTGTAAGTCTTGGGTTCGATGAAGGACTATTAGAGGTACAATTTAAAAATAATTTTACAAGATACAGAGTGTCCCAAATAAGTAAAAAATATCAAAGTTGTATTTTTTTAAACGGAACACCCTGTATATTATTGCATTTTTAGTTTCTACGATTAAAATAAAGGTAAATTTGATTAAGGTTTATTATACTTAAACCTTACCGTTTTTGAAATATTTTCAATTTTGTGAAATTGCAGTAAAAATTTTAAGGCTTCATTCCTCCAAAGTTTTTAATACTAAATATTTACTGAAGTTTATTTATTGATCAGTTATTGTGTTGCAATAATAAAAATAATACTACCTTATACAGAGTATCTAAAAATTTATTTTAAATAATTATTACCTTCAAACGGCAATAACTTGTTTAATTTAAAAGGAACACCCTGTATATTTTACGAGAATCAGATGCACAATTTAATTGTCTGTCAAATTATATTATACCATTTTTTACCTATCTCTTTAAGTTTCCGTAGAAAATGCATTTTTTTGTAATTTAGAATTTATTTATCAATATACCCATGGAATATTGACATTTTAGATTATTTTTAAAGATGTACCAAATTTTTAAAGAGTACAGATACTAATATTGTGGATATAATTCGTTTATTTCATTAAAAAATAAAAAAAACTGTTTAAATATTTGTTAAAAAGGACCAATTAATATGATTTCAGTATTCAAACGAGACATTAACTGACTGCATTGATTAATCCCGGAATTAGCAAATACTAAAAGAACTCCTAAAGGCCGGTAGGAATGGAACGCGTGTGCTCACTGCAGTGTACACGGGCCACTGCCGGCTGAGATCTCACCTGCAGAGGACGGGACTGGTGGAAGACGCCGAATGCCGACTCTGTATGGAAGATGATGAAACAATGAAGCACGTTATGTGTACCTGCCCGCTGGGAGCAGGACCAGGTTTAAGATGTTTGGCAAACCCATGCTAGACCTATCAGACCTAGGAGACATATCGCCCTCAGACATAACGGCCTATATTAAGAGGCTGGGTCTTGAGGATGAACTTTGACGCTCTTGTAAATTAGAGCTTGTAGAAACTGAGCCACAATAGGCCCTCGCGGCCTCAGTGGAGAGGTCCCCCTTGGGACCCACTTTTAGCAAAACGATAATATTACTAGAATGTCAATATATGATGTCAATATTCCATGGGTGTCAATAATAAAATGTCAATATTCCATGGGTATATTGATGAATGAGGTCTAAATTATAAGAAAATGCATTTTCTACGAAAACTTGAAGGGATAGGTAAAAATGGGTACAATTTGATAGACAATCAAATTGTGCATCTGATTCTCCTAAAATATACAGGGCGTTCCATTTAAATTAAACAAGTTATTGGCGCTTAAAGCTATAAATTATTTAAAATAAATTTTTAGACGCTCTGTATAAGGTAGTATTATTTTTATTATTGTAACACAATAACGGATCAATAAATAAACTTTAGTAAATATTTAGTATTATAAACTTTGATACCCTTGGAGAAATGAAGCCTTAAAATTTTTACTGCAATTTCACAAAATTGAAAATATTTCAAAAACGGTAAGGTTTAAGTGTAATAAACCTTAATCAAACTTACCTTTATTTTAATCGTAGAAACTAAAAATGTAATAATATACAGGGCGTTCCATTTAAAAAAATACAACTTTGATATTTTTTACTTATTTGGGACACTCTGTATCTTGTAAATTATTTTTAAATTGTACCTCTAATAGTCCTTCATCGAACCCAAAACTTGAAATTTGTAAAAATATAATCGTTTAGCTACAATACTCCGTGTCGTATGTGGTGAACAACCCTGTATATTATACAGAATATTTTAAACACTAATGCACTACTTCATCGCTTTTTTCCACTATTGTTTCATCGATTTGTGCAATGAAGGGCTTAAATATTATCCTTTACCTCCAATCCCATCATGAAGAGGACCGTAACAACCAAAATTATCGTTACTCCTAACACATCTGGCCATGGTTCTCCCAGCGAATGCTGTTCCAGGCCAAATAGAAACTCCCTAAAGTGCCCTTTGCTGATGTAATCTACCGTGGCACTGGCTAATCTGGCACAAGTAGCAGCCGCTACCAAATTGGTTAGAATGTCCAGCCATATGATGAGGAAATTGACCAAGTTGCTTAGGCGTTTGCGTTTGAATTGTTCTTCGTTGCTTGTCGTTGTACAACTACAGATAGCTGCAAAATATACAAAAAAAAACATTTTTACCCTCTTTATAAAATAAATAAATAAATAAATGCCTTTATTGTCAAAAATTTTTACAATTTGTAGACAAAGGTAAAGTAAACAAACAAAAGAGAATACAAAACAAGTATACAAATTACATTGTCAGTCTTATTGTTTGAAATAAACATTTATAAATGTTTACAATGTCAAAGAATAAAAAAAATAAAATTAAGATTCAAAAATATTTAGTAAGGTTATAGTAAATATAGTAATAGCAATAGACCAGTGTTTACAATATCAATTATCAAAATATAAGTCATTTACGGCGTGGAAAGCCTTATCTAGTAAATAAGATTTCAATGCATTGTGAAATGAAGAAAATGATGTTACGGATTTGATTTCAAATGGCAGGTGATTGTGCATTTTCTTCTAGTTGTATAATTGAACTTTTAACTAACTCTGAGCGTGGGGTAGGTAGATAGAGATCTTGCTCCGCGTTCCTGAGTGGATAAGTGTGAGATGGCCTTTCTTGAGAAGCTGATACATGCATACGTATAACGGATTCAAATATAGATAAGGAAGGAAGAGTTAATATTTTTAATTTTTTAAAAAAGCCCTGGCAATGAGTTCTCCTGTTTAGTCCCAGTGAATATCGAACAGATCTCTTCTGAAGCTTGAAAATGCGGTCAAATTGAGTCCCACAACACGTACCCCAGAATGGAAGGGAATATTTGAGGTACGACTCAAAAAGTGCATAATAAATATCAGATATCAGATACCACACAAGGGTCCATGGATATCAGATACCTTTCCATGCTGTTGTCGAATTGTATGTTATAAATTAACTTTACTGACATAATAAGATATATAATACCGGATTTATTGTTTATAGGGTGATATTATTAACCGTTACCTTCATATAATTTTAATAAACAGTTTATTAAGACTTCGCAGCATGCTGAGCGGGTTATAATTAACTAATTTATAGAGAAACAAAAAGAAGACCGGCTAATAGAGTTAAAATTGCTTCGCTAATGTAGCTGCATCTGATAATCTGACAACTTAGGTCTTGATATGGCATGGCGGAAGTTTAGAACAGGATATCAGAATTAACTACTTGCAATTTAGGTTTAGTTTTTCAAGAATATAAAATAAACTTTGCTATTGTGGTGTATAGTTGAGGAGTCAATGGAAACCATTGAATACGACAATATGTTGGAAAAATAACAGCGTCAGCGATGGCTATGAAATAAAGATAACTATAATTTTATATGTAAAATTATATAGGGAATGTCATCGATCGTCAGTTGGTCAAGCCATTTCCATTTCCAAGCCAAGCCGTTTTTTTTTCATACGCTATTTATACAGAGACAATGGGCTATTTTTACAAAAGGCTTGAGGCAGAATTTTATATATTTTTATGGAAATTCCACACCTGTAATTTTTAACCAATCAAAACGTGTTTTTTTTGACAAATCACCATGGCAACGGATAAATTTTAGTGAAAATGTTTTCCTTGTGGGCGCCCAACAGCGAATTATACTGGAAATTGTTTGACGTTTATAATGACAGAATATCTTTTTGAGAGTCTGGTTTTTATGATAATTTTGATACATTTCTATTACAAAGCTGGAATGTTTTCTATAGTCTTTGGACACCTCCTTTCTTCTTAATGGCGAAAATGTAGGACGGAATTAAATGTCTATGTCTAATGAAATATATATAATATTTAGACACTATTTTATTCACCTTTTTTCCATTTAGCAATTTGAATTTTAAGTAGTTTAGATGCAAATATTCGTGAACAATTCGAAACAAATTTTCTTTCTTCAAGTAAGAGCCACAATCCTCTATTAATGACAATTTCACGCATATTTTGCATGTAGTATGATTTTCAAACCAATTCATTTTTAAAACAAAGAATTTTGTTGGTTTTTCAAGCTGCATAATATTCTTTATTACAACAAAACGCGAGTTTTTCTGGTATTTTGAACTGTCAAAATACGATGATCACAGCCTCTTATGATTGACGCTTGCTGACGCTGCACGCTAGTTATGGATTTCATACCAATAAAGCGTTTATGAAAAGTTAATAAAAATGCAAAAAAGCAATTTTCTACCACTTGTAGTTACTCAAAACTTATGTAAAATTAAAGAATATACTGTGTTATGTCTTGAGATGGTATTTTCGTGCAACTACGACGAGTAGAAGTCAACAATTTAAAGGTCTAAATGGCTGCCAAAACCGTGACGCGCTGTAAATCTGTTCATGCAGCGTTCCGAAAAACCTTTTAAATTATGATTTTCTACTACTTGTAGTAAGCCCAAGTAATTATAAAATGAAAGAATATAATATTTTTGGTCTTAAAATGGCACTTTTGTACTACTACAATCAGTAGAAATCAACAGTTTATAGGCTAAGAATAACGATAGTAACTAAATAATCAAGTCGACCAAAAATCGAAAAATATATTTTAATTATTTGATTTTGAAACTCAATTTGGTGCGGAATTTCCTTACCGAATACCACACGTGGTCAAATTAAATCCGGAAATTTTTTGATCTCTAGTGGTATTACTAGTGATAAATTTTTAACAGCAGTATTTTTTACTGTTAATAAAAAACAATACTCACTGGCCCAATACAACTAGCAAATAAAATTTTAGTTTTTCGGAAACTTAACCGAATTAACCGTTTTATTTTATGTAGTTTTACTTTCATCTGTATCTACAATAAATTAATATGATACTTAGTATGAAAACCGCCTAAGTATAATTGGTAATAAAAGAAAATTAATATTAACATTAAAAAAAAACTACTTAAATTGAATTTTAGTTGTCTTGACTTGATAATAATTATATTGATTTAAGTCATTTTACTGACTTAACTTGCAGATCATCACGATTAAAATAAGTCAAAAATATAGACTTAAGTCATGAAAACGACTTAAATAACGTTATATTGAGTTAAGTCTTTACAATGACTTGACTTGAAATAAAATGACTTAAGTCAAAGATTTAAGTCTTTTTAAAACTGACTTGTTGCAGCTCTGTTGACAGTTTTGTTTGACTTTTTACATGAAGAGTTTGAATTTATTGTATCATTTCTGTCAAATCTAAAGTATCTAATCAATATGTTTATTTTTTGTCAATGATGACATGTATTGACTATTTCGATTCCAAATATAAATATCATCACAGCAGTTGCTCGTAGCGATTTTTACCAAGATATTTTTTTAATACAAAAAAAAAACGGCGGAAATATATATTTTTCCATCGGTAGTGTAATACAGGTGCGTACGAAAAGTTATTACCTTACAAGTAGGAGTTATATTGACATCGAAATCAAATTTATTATTTCAAAAAATACCCAGCCACCAATTTTCAAATAAAAATTAAACTTTTACATCCTGTATCTGCGAAAACTATTTTTTAGATATTTTAGTTATTTTTATCTGCAAAATATTTATATTACTAATTACTACCAATTCTGAATTATTATATATATTCTATATTATTGTGAATTATCGCCATATTCTGAAATATTGAAATAAAAATCTAAATAGATAATCTAAAAAAAATAGTCAAAATTCAAAACAAAACAGGAGAAGCCCAGAGATGTTCAATTAATTAAAGGTTGTATAAAACCTAAATCTAAACTATTATTTTTTTTGTTAAAAATTTATATTTAAGTAGGTTTTTATTACAATACATAAAGTTATAACCATATTGATAACGAAAAAAATATTCCGTATATACGTACATAAATTAATTACGTATGTGTATACCTTTAAGATTGTTACATAAGGATCCTCAATGAACACCTCTAGATTGAAACTAAGAAGAAACGGCGAATGCAGATTCTGTGGGGAAGATGGTGAAACACCAGTACACCTCATCACTGAGTGCGCCGAGACGACAACCATTCGTGCCATGAATTTTGGTACGACTGATATTGGAGATGGAGAACTACCCTCTATAAAACCGTCCCAGATACTGGCTTTTGTCAAAGCCCTGGGACTGTATGATGAGTTATGATTCAAGAAAGGGGGACACAATGGATCTGTAAGGTCGAAGTGATTAACCCCCCTCCCACTCATTCTAAATTCTAAAATTCTATCTGCAGAATAAGCTGTCAAAGTTACCCGATTCCAATTCAGACCAACTTATATACAACTTAATATTGTATTGGTTGAAATTTATTACAGTGCAAGAGGCCATGAAGATTAAACAGTTTTCTTTTTTACCTGACAATGTTGCGGAACTGCCGGCGATGAAAATTGCCAACAGAGTTTCCGCCCCGGTGAATTCCGAGGACACCAGGCCGATTAGAACAGCTACTCCAAAAGACCAGTGGCTCAAAGCGGGAGCGAAGCTTTGTAGGCTGCTCATTCCTGAAATTCCTAAAAGCGCATTATAGTTACAGCCTTTATTCGCTTACATAGAGCATCACTATTTATAAGACGCGTTAATAAAATAACTTTACTTTTTGCAGGGTTTTACTTGGTAGAGGTTGAAACATTACTTAGAACTCAGTAATGTTTAATAATTGTTGATAGAATAATAAACAGGCAAATTTATTAGGGTGAGTCAACGATAGAGCAAAGTCCATTATCCCATATGTTTCGACGTTTAAATAAAAATATTAAATGTAAAAGAGATAGGTTAAGATACACATTTTAAAATTATTATGGAGCATACAGTGTGCTTCAAAAAAGTGTGGCGGATATATCATGTTTTTTTTTTAAATGCAACACCCTATTTTTTTTATTTTTAATTTGAATTTATCTTTAGATTCTGCGCAAAAATCTGTAACGTTCTTATATGTAATAATAAAATTATATAAGGATTCTTGCCACTTAACTGCTGATATAGAAATTTAATTCCATCACAACCTGCTCTCACTGCCGCACGGTGGAAAGACCCAATATAAAATGTTGGACATTGACTTAAAAATAAAATTTTAAATTAAATAATTTTTTGTAGAAGATTTGAATTACTTAAAGTCCAGACCGTTATATTTTATCCAACTCAAAAAAATATTTTTAATTATATGTCTGTTTGAAAAGTTTCAAATGAAGATATTACACTGACTTAATTATGGTATTCATTTCTTGTGAAACAACCTAGTTTTATAAAAACTGGCAAAGACATTAATAATTTTTTTTAACTATACATATTAGTGCAAACGATTGTTTTCACTTTAAAATAAAAGATATATATAGTCACAAAAGTTTGGGAGAACAATTGTATATAAGAGACACATAAACATTTTTTTGCTGCTAAATACTATATTTAGTAGCAAAAAAATGTGTATGTAGAAAAATAAAAAAATGGCCAAAGTTGGCCAAGACTTTATATATATCACAAGGTAGATTAAGCCTTTCTAATAACGAAACTAATTTAACATCTTGCCCCAGCTTGCCCCCCTCTAAAAATTTCCATTTAATATATTACTAATACATGCTATACTAAAATCAAAAACCTTTTCAATTCCAATAAATTAATTTAAAATTTTTAGAGTCAAATTATCTTTATTTTTTTATAAATTTATTAATATTTAATTATTAATTGGATAAATACAAAATGACGCTAAAATCAAAAACAGATACAGGGTGCTACAAATATATGGAAAACTTATAAACTATTGGAAAAAGAAAGAGGGTTAAAGTGCGTATTGAGGTTTTTGTTATACATACATATAATAAAAATATTCTAGTGCGTTGATTTACTGTTATATTCTTTGCTTATAATAAAGTTATTGTACAGGGTATCCCACTAAGAATAGCTCTCGGCTATATCTCGGAAAGTATTAGCCGTGAGGCTTGCGGAAAAAATATTCATAACTAAAGAGACCATGAGAAAATGCTGGAAATTATTTTCAAATTTGTAGAATGGCCGCTAGAGGGCGCAACTGCTATAAAAAATAAGAAAATAGAGTTTTTACACAACTTTGCCTAGATAAGGGGTACTATAAATAATAGCTTCATAATCTTCAGTAAATTCTGAATATTTTTTGTTAGAACCATTTTCCCCTATCTGCCAAAATAAAGTGGTGGGGAAAGGTTAGATCTGTTTTTATTTAAATATTAATAATTCCGGACTGGATGGACGGAATCCAACTAACTGGAGCTCGTTTAAAATACCGTTTCTTACTCTATATTATACCATATAAACAATAACTGTAAGCTTTTGAACGTAGATGCTAGGGGGCGCTGTCTTACAAATTAACAAACATTGTGCGTTTTTTCAAAAAAAAATGCGATGGTATATGTCATTTTAGCTGATAATAAAGAGTAATGAAAGCTTAAAAAGTCAGTGAAAACCGCATCTTGATATCTTCTTTCAAATCGAAGATATTAGCAAAGTTATATTAAATAGGAAAATATATGTAAGCCCTTAATTACCATATTTTTATAACACGGTATCAGTAGTTTTAGATTTCAGTGGTAAAATCTAAAGCTATTTCTTTTTAAAAGGATCAAAACTAAAACATTCCACGACAGTTTGGCAAAGTTTATAAGCATTTAAAACTTGTAAGATTTTTCCAAAACATACTATATTTTTAGGTCACCCTGTAGATGATTTGTAATGAGCCAACCACTTTCTTTCATTAAAATTTAAAATTGTTCTGTTTATACATTATTACGGTATATAAAAATCATTTTTTCGTCTTTTGGATTAAAAGTGTTGAGAAGAAAACCTCATGTCCAACAGTTCCCATAAGCTCGTTCCACTGTGTGCCGGTTTCGGAGCCCTACTCCATCATCAGGTGAGCTTGGGCCAGATACAACGAAATGACAACCACAGCGCAATGGTATCTGCCCAAGCTCACCTGATGATGGCTGTGATGATGGAGTAGGGCTCCGAAACCGGTAGTGCGAGCAGGTTGATCCACATTATGACAAACACAGCGTGGAATTAAATTTCTATATCAGCAGTTAAGTGGCAAGAATCCTTATATAATTTTATTATATACCTATACTGAAAGAAATTTGTTTTCCATTCTTATATGTAATGTTATATATCCAAAATGAATAGTTTTTGTAATATTTCAGTTTGTGTAAATAAATATTAGATTTCAATGTGGTAAAAAATTGTCAGTGATGCCATTGTTTCTATAGTTGGACTACTAAAATTTGGTATGAGAGTTTTATAGCGATGAAGAAAAATATATACGTAAAGATATTTTAGTTAGATGCTACAGGGTATTCAAAATAAATTTATTAATTTCGACTATTTCAATTTAAAAAAACTCAAATGTTTTAAATGGGACACCCTATACTATAATTTTTTTTAAAAATTGAAAAGTTTAGAATAAGTCGCCCACTATTAAAAATAAGTATATGACATACTTAATAAAAGTACCGTATGATCGAATGAAAACGGCGTCAGCGATGGCTGTGAAATGAAGATCGTTGTCATTTTGTATGTAAATTTATATTGGAAATGTCATCGATTGTCATTTCGTAGCCATCGCTGACGCCGTTTTTATTCGATCATACGGTAGAAGAGTTTTGTAAAATCTATCACGAAAAAAATTGATAATAAAATATATAGACAATAAAATATATTATTCCTAGGCTCCTTTGAACTCCAACTCTAGATTGAAATTTAAAATACGATTTTTTAAGCAAAAATGTCAAAAATTGCCATATCATATATTATTCAAGTCAAAATGTTATTTTCTGTCAAATAAAGTTAAAAAATATTGAGGGTACCATTTAAAAATCAAAAGTTGTTGGCATTTCCGCTGAAACGGGAAGTGACCGAAACTAACTGATTACGTATATCCGAGGGGTGTCTCACTCGGGTAAAAAATGTACACGTACTGCCAAAATATCCTTCCACTGCTAAGCGACTGCCAATGACTATGAAGAAGACTGCCTATGACTGCCATGTAATTATTATAGGTGACTGCCATAAGACTGCCAATGACTGCCAGCGACTGCCAAGAAAATGTACAGGTAATTCCATTAGTGAGACACCCCTCGCGTATATCATTCCTGATTTATGTCATATACTAACATACCAAATCTCGTTTTTCTATGTAAAAAAATAAATAAGTTATTATAGGGGTAAACCATTTTGAAAAACACCCGGTAATTGTTTAAATTTCAATTGTAAACACTCAAAGCTAATTGGGAAAATAATGTCCGTTTGGAAATGATCATAAAATATTTAAATAATTTTGTGAAATTACAGTATTTTGTAAAACTTTATCCACTTTATTTTTTGTAAATTTAAAATATTTATTTCAGTGTAGAAAAAGCGACAAACAAAAACTGATATTATGTGCTTTTGGCAAAATCTGGATTTTTTTCGAATTTTGGACAATGCTACATTTGGGAATAGCAGTTTATTTGTAATTACCTACTGCTTTTGCTAAGATGGTTAGCAAAATTCAAAAAAGGGTTTTAGTATCTTGTAGTAAACAGCATTAAATTTTTAATGAAGTACGTGAAAAATACAGTTGAGAATTTTAAAAGCTATTTTACCTTATTTTTAATATAATATTAGTTTGTTTCCATAAAATAGTGTTAGTTTTAAATAATCTAGAACATTTCTAACACACTCACCTAAATAAAATCGATTTGGACGAAAAAAACTATCCAGATATCCAGTGGTTAGGGAAAACCATGAAAAAATTCTTACACATTATGCGCGGATGGCGGTAAATTTTGATTTGGTCTGCACTAGTTCTACTCGCAAACTACATTAAACCGGATTATAATATGAAACTATGGGTTCGTGGGAAACCTTAAAAAACTACATTATATGATGACGTAGGGCCGGAAAAGTCCTACCGTGCACGCTGCTGCATTTTACCAAGGAAAACCGCGGAAAATCGATATGGATCTTGCGCGTTGAGGCATATTAGATTTTACATTGTTATTGTTTTGAGTGTACAACCCAATTCGCAACTTCGGTCTAAAATGAACAGGGGATAAATATTTGGAGAGTTTAAAATTTGCATGGGATGTCCTGTTTCCAACGGCGATGTATCACCCGGTATACAGGGTGCTACAAATTCGGGAACGAGCATTGAAATTTCGGAAACCATAATATATACAACATGGTTAAATTGGGGCAAAGTTGCTAACAAAAAAGTTTCAAAAATTTGAAGTTTGCTGACTTATTTGAAAAAAACGTATTTTTTGAAAATCATTTTTATTTTTTCCTGTCCTTATAGCCACTTTATCATATAGAAAGGATACCGAGATACCATTCCTCGTACCCAGAATTTGTAGCACCCGTTTACAGGGTGCGTCTCAAAAGTGGCTGACTCCTATATTATATATATGATTTTTTCAGGTAAAATAACGAGATTTGGTATGTTAGTGTATGACATAAAATAGGATTGACTGACGTATTCAATTGTTTTTGGTTACTTCCTGTTTCACCGGAAATGACTACATGTTCCGTATATTTTTACTTTATTCGATAGAAAATGGCGCTTTGAGTAGAATGACATGGCATATGTCAACTTTTGACATTTTCGCTTTAAAAAATCGTATTTTATATTTCAATTCACAGTAGACTTCCATGGCTGTGTTAAAAACACTAATTTTTAATAAAGGACCCTCGAAGAAATATATTTGATCGTCTAATAACCGTTAACCCAAATCGTATTTTTAATCATATCTTCATTTCTTCAAATGGAACAAGGGTGCCTCATTAGCATATTTGGAAAAAAGCATTTTTACGAATAATTTGGTACCACACACTAGGTATTTCGATTAAAATTGTTGTTATGAACCGCATGTTTCAATTTCAAATAAAACATATGCCATATGATAATATGTCATTTGACATATGATATTCTATTCAGAGTGTCATTTTCTATCAAATAAAATACGAAAATAAAAAAAAATACCGAGAGTGCCATTTAAAAATCAAAGGTTGTAGTAATTTCTGGTGAAACAAGAAGTAACCAAAAACATTTCAATTCGTTAATAAATCCTAATTTATGTCATATACTAACATACCAAATATCGTTTTTTTATCTGAAAAAAAAAAAGTTATAGGGGTGAGTCACTTTTGAGACGCACCCGGTATATACCATCTCCCTATTTTTTCCACTATCCATGGTTTATTTTGAAATGTAGGAAATTTATTATTATTTATATTTATTTATCTATTTTTTTTTTATTTCATTATACAAACGGCCAGTCTTAAATTAGTGCACATATTTTAAGGGTATTATATTTATATATAAGTTTTTTCGCGAAAATTGTTTTTGTTTTAAAATTTTTTGAAAAAAAAATTTAAAACTGGAAATTTTAAAACTTTGGAAACTTTTAAAGTAAATAACTCGGTTATTTTGGACTTATTTGAAAAAGGGTAAAGAGAAAATAGTTTTCTGTTATCGAGATCTACCACTCCTGAAAATATTTTTACTTATTTACGACACACACTGTATAAATTTAAATTTTTATTTTTGTGGTATGTAACCAGTAATACAAAAATATTAGAGGTCCTTGGTAAAGGACTTTGTTTATTTTATATGATGTAAAGGGCCATTAAATACACAATACACACTTATAGAAATGTTTCTAAAATTTTATATTTTTTTATTTCAGAATACAAATATTTCTTTTTTATTAAATCAAAAAGTTACATTTTTTTTAAATACAGTCAATGGTTCTGTCTTTACGCCTGTGTTGCCAAGTTACTTGAGAACTCGGCAAACTAATTTATACATATAAGTAATAGTTCTTGAGTAATAATATGAACCTATATCAATTTTTTTGTAAGTATAAAACAAATTGAACCGTTATAAAATCACAATAAATCTAGTAAACATATAATATAACTATTGTTTCAGTAGAAAACATATTTTTTCTTGTTTTAGACACATCATAATTTATACAGCTTTAAATAGATAATAGCTTTTTTCGTTTTCCTGTTATTACCGATTCTGCATCGTCCTAGAACTCTGCAGCGCATGCGCAAATGAAATAATGTCTTCATATTTCCTTCTGCGCATACGCATCACAATTCTAGGACGGTTCAGAATCGGTAATAACAGGAAAACGAAAAAAGCTAATAAACATGCGTCCAATCTGACAACATTGACAGTGCGAGATTTTCAGTTGTTAGCTTGTCGTTATGTCGCTCTTTTCTCTCAATTTTTCTGATTTTTGGTGGAAAAAGTTACTTTTTTGAGTTTAATCTGTTGTTTAAGGCCTGTTTAACCGTTTGAAAATGTAAGTACTCTAGTAACTTTATCTGTACTTTCAAGTACAAGCAATTTCAATTACATCATCATTGAAAACTGATACACTTTCCCTATTTTCAAGATTTTCTCTTTCAAAATCTAGTGTATGGAAATATGAATATATTCCTTCATGCCTCTATTGTACATAAAGATGCTTTGAATAATAATATTTGTTAATGCTCCATATTTAGAGATATTGTTTTTTTTACCTTTTTTTGGGAAGAGTTTAAAGATGTTTTTATTCCTAAATTTTTACATTTTTTTTATTCGTACAGACAAATAAGTATTTTCTACGTCTTTAGAACGAGTCAGTGTTGATATACCTAAATGGGGCTCTCATTCTCAATAATTATATAATACTTTCAGATAAAATAAAATACGTTTAAACGGTTGTTTATTACTATACACAATTTTGCTTTGTTTTAATGTCTAATGCTTAATTTTCTTTTTTAGCAGCGTTATTAGTAATACCCTTGTATAGAATATATAAACAAGGGTAATACGGGGGCACCAGTACATAAAGACCATCCAAAAGAAGAAGCCTGTGTCATCTCTTACATAATCCTTCTTTTTTTCGCCATCATTCTGGTGTACGAGATTGGTTTTGCATTATCTGATTAAAAGTATAAGTTTAATTTGTTATTTCAAAATAATTTTAGTAAATTTATCAAATGTTTTTTAACAGGCTAACCATATTTTTTATATATTTAATTTTAATATGAATCAAACAAAAAAATAAACACAATTATAGCATAATTAATAATATGTAATATTATTTATCTCTTTTTTTACAGATTTCCTACATCAAATCAATGGATGTATACAGTTCCAAGGCAGTACATTTATTCTTTTCTTGAATATCACCATCCAAACGAAGAGACTTGGGAATCACTTATATAATTCTGATGTTTGGCCATCATTCTGGTTTACGAGATTGATCTTACATTTTCTGACTAAAAGTGAGTTTAATTTGTCAATTCAAAATAATTCTAATACATTTATTAAATGTTAAATGTTTATTAACACGCTAACCATATCTTTTATATCTTTAACCTTAATATGAAACAAAAAATCTTAAAATAAAATGTAAAATTATTTTTTATACAGATTTTCTACAACAAATCCATGAATGTATACAGTTCCAAGGCAGTACATTTATCCTTTTCACGAATATTACCAACTATGCATCAGGACTTATAAGTATATCTAAAATTTTATTTATTATGGGTAAATATATTTATATTGGTTTTAATTTTTATCAATGGATTTCATGGTTTCTAAGTTTGATTAAGCAAGAAAAAAATTCCACTAAGTTACATTTTTATGGTTCTTTATTATCATAGCAAAATTCAGACTATCTGTTTTTAATTTTAGTCAAATTTTGTCTTTTGGTCACAGAAGTTTATGTCGTTTTTTAGTTTACTATCATTATTTTATAATAGCTTGCATTCTATATTTTCTTGATTGTGGTTAGAATTAGAATTAGAATAAGTGGGAGGGGGGTTAATCTCTGCGACCTTAGAGATCTATTGTGTCCCCCTTTCTTGATTTCTTGAGTTATAACTCATCATACAGTCCCAGGACTTCCTACGGAGACCCGTGTCCCTCACAGTCGAGGAGCTACGACCCAGGCCGGGTAGACGAAACGGTAGCTTGTGTCGCCTGTTGGGTTTAGAGGTAGAAGGTAGGCTCCCGACCCTTGGAGGAGGTGGTAGCTTGTATGCCACTTGCGGAGGATGGTCTCACGCAAGTGTCAGCCACCTCTCCTGTAGTTCTCTTTGAGTTTGGCCCCTTGGAACTTTCATTGTTACTGTTCCCAGTGTCGCTAGGGGGTTTCCCCACAGCTTCACCGGTGACGTTTTTATTACTATTATTATCAGATCTCATAGTGTTCCTATGAGTCGCTAGGGACAGTCGGTCCACTTCTACAGAGCCCCGCATGTAGAATTAAGGGGTAAAATACAATGGGGTGCCCCAAGGTTGAGGCTGTCCGTAGCCCCGCCCGGTATCGTTATATGTCTTGGTGCAATTCCCTGGCCACGACACTACAGTCAGGGACAAGACGATGAGTGAGATGCTTCTTAGACGAAGCCAAGTGCTAGAGGGGATTCTCCCCAGCACCTGACCAGGAGCTTCCCCACCAACGACAGGGTCTTGCATCTCCTAGGGGAAGTTGATTGTGGTTATATCATCGTTTTTCAATTCTAAAAATTATTCATCAACTGTATTTCTATAGTTCTTATTTATACTATGTACTTAGAATTTTACTTCAATTTGTTTATGGTTAATTATATTTTCTATAAAATATTCTCTTGACTGCATTTCTACAGGTGTTATTTGTGTTTGGTAAAATATACCATCTACTTAGAATTTTACTTAATTTTTTATGGTTAACGTTCATTTTTCTATAAAAGTCTGACTGAACATCATTAATCGATTCTATAAAATATTCTATTGACTGTATTTCTATTAGTATTCATTTATTTGTATTATTTTTCTTATGGTGTCATTCTTCTATTACTTTTTTGCTTGTGCAATTCTACGTACAATTTTAGTTTTGATGGATTCATTTCCGTGCTATTTTCT